TGCTTCGCGGCGGGGCCGGCGCGCGTTACAGCCCGGAGCCCCGCGGAGCCGCAGCCCCCGGGGACCTGGGCGGTTTGGGGTTTGTCTGTGATTCGCCCGTCGAAAGCCAGCGCTGGGCCTCTTGGGGAAGGGCATGCTGCGGCCTGTCCCCCTGCCCCGAGGGGACCCAGGGCCTGCCCCTAAATCTGAGGTCGGATGTTGGTCCCATCAGGTGGCTGGCTGGGAGAGACCCAGAGGGTCCACCTGCAGTGCCCGAAGGCTCCGCACCCACCGCAGACCCTCTTCCCACCCCGGCTGCTGGTCACACTTCTGCGTAGTGCCACCACCGCTCCCCCATCCGCGACAGCAGCGTTAGAGGTGAGTGCTACACCCTCCTCCACGTGAATGGCTATGTTGAAGATGAGATCGCAAAGGCACTTGGAAGCAAGTACATAAATCTCACTCCCCACAAATGGTTTTGTGCTGACTTGGATATAGAAAGACCCACTTTATTATTAATTTTTAAGTCAAGCCTTTCTGAGCAAAAATGAACCGACAAATGAAGCCTGTGTAGTGTTTTCCACCTCCTACGCCAGCTTGTCGGCTCTTTTGCCCTTTATATGCATTGCGAAAGCAGCTTACAGGGAAATCTTTTTTTTTCCGATTCTTGGATTTAAAGTTTTGAGAGTCTATTAACTTATTCATTTAGTTACTGTTATTAGCAAGCCTGAGAGGTTAGGGCCTAGAAGAACTTAAAATCTAGTAGGGAAAAAAACAGTGACACAGAGTGATGACAATCCATGCCAGAGCATGAGCACACGCATTGTGCAGCCGCATAAAGAGGGTGATGGCTAGGAGGATGGAAGAGATCTGAGTTCTAGTGTACATTCGGATTTTTTCTAGGCTTCTGTCCCTCAGGGTGCATCTTAACCTCTCCCAATTTCTCCTGATCTATAGAAGGAGAGTAACATTTGTTCTGACACAAGGAAGTTGTAAGGATGAAAAGAAAAGGAAAAAAAAAAAAGATATGGAAGTAATTTATGCAAAATACAAGAGAATCACCACCACAGTGCCATTGGTATTTATGGGAGGGAACGGCCTCTTTTAACGGGTCATCCGAGGTGGCTGGAGGCTTAGCCACTGAGATGGTCAGTAAAGAAGGGGTAAGCCTTTTTTAGATTGAAGAGAAGAGAAAGAGGAAGTTTCAGTTTGAAACAAATGAAAGAAATTGAAAAGGTGGCATGTAGAACTGGGTAAAAAACACACTTCAAGACTCTTCAGAGGGAGGGGATGGGAATGTGCAAATTGCCAGTTATGAAAACAGTCACAGATGTAGAGTACAATATAGAGAAAGTAGTCAATAATATTGTAATAACTACGTGTGGTGTCAGAAGGGTACTAGATTTATCAGGGGGAAGACTTTGCAAGTTATAAAAATGTCCAATCACTATGCTGTACACCTGAAACTAATATAACATTGTATGTAGTTGAAAATAAATTATTTTAGAAAAGACTTCTGAGACACGGTCTTATTACAGAAATCAATTTTCGTTAGATTGACGCACAACTATCAACGGCACTCATGAACCAAGCAAATGACTTCTACAAGTCTTTCATTTATTCATCCATTTACTCATTTATTCATAAATATTTATTGAACATCTGTTAGGTGTCAGACACTGTTCTAGGCATTGTGCCTGCAGCATCAAGTAAATAAACAAGATCTCTGATTCTTTGGCATCCGCAGTCTATGAGAGGGTTATGGTGTACCCTGGCAGCTGGACCCTCACGGTCACAGGCTGCCAGCCTGGAGCAATTAGAAGACCCAGGTCAGCTGCAGCTCCTCTTAGGGCAGCTGCTGTCCCTGCTCAGGAACTAAAAGGAAGCCTCTGGAGCAGAAGTCGGGAAAAGGAAAGAAAAGAGAACTGAGCCAGGGAGTGGATAGCTAGTTGAAGGGGAGATGGGCTCAGCGGAGTCAGGCCTGAGCTCAGACCCCAGCCTACTGAGAGCAGTTTGCTGGCTGCTTGCAGACTTGACCCCTGTCCCACGGCTGCTTCGAGCATCTACTCCAACAGCAGCAGTTGGTTTTAAAGAAGTCTTCCAGAAAGACTACTCAGTGCTTTGCTAAGGTCACCCTGCGCAGCAAAGAAAGGATGGGAACAAGAGGAATTAAGCCCTCTGGTGCCCCACGTGATCTCCTTCTGACTTAGCTAAACTCGCTTCCCTGGCTTCTCTAAGAAAGAATAGAAATGCCTTTCGAACCACCCAAAAGGGAGGCCACATTAAATTTTCACTGGCCTGTTTTTATCAGTTGCACCATGTCCAAGACAGATTACGTTAGGTTCAACAGAGTTTGTCAAAGGAAAGCAGGTGTTGGTAATGACGTCCAAAAACATCTCAGTAAAAATGTTTTAAACATTGGTTGTTTAAAAAAAACTTTCGGCAAAAAATAAAATCGACCTTCGTGTGCCTCAGTTTCCATCGTCAGTAAAGTTGGGAGTAATGATAGTAATAATAGTAATAATAGCATCTCCCTTGTGAGGATTCAATGAGCTGACTCTTGTAGAACAGTACTGGATGTAAGTTCTGTGAAAGCGTTAGTTACTATTTTCTTTATGTTACTCTTTCATCTCTTTGTTTCCTTGTATATTTTCTTCTTGTCGCACCCACCAACAGTTGTGTGGCTGTCTTATGTTTAAAATGATAAAATCCCATTAGACATTACATAGGGATAAAGTATAAGTGTGTGGGGATGGTGAATGTGTTGTTTTTAAGACAATGAAATTAAGTGCTATGAAAGACTTGATAAAAGCAAATTAAAAAAAAATCTGTCGAATGGTGGGCATGGGAAGAGAATCATAAAAATTGAGTGTGATTCTACATGGAGCTTGCTTTTAAAATGCTTGTTCCCCCTTCATTTTAAATGAACCCAAATGAAGAAGCATAGAAGACAGATTGTCGGAGTGGAAGAAATCCGAGGCAGAACTGAATCAGAGGACCCACACCCCAACTGAGGTCCTTGGCCCTGCACATGTACATACAGTACACAAATAGCTATGGTATTAAAATGTCATAAGGGTGGGGGAGAGGATGTCATTAGAAAAAAAAGTCTAACAAAGCTCCTTAGGGGCATAATAGAAAATAGATTGAGAAACAGTGCATTATAAGTGATGTTTAAAGTATGTATCATTATTGTTATATCCCAGATTTCATTGGTTTTTCAAATAATCCACCAACTACTATCCTGGTCTGGTGAGAAAAGAGAGATGTACTGTATGACAAAGGGCAAAGGGCACGGAGGAGAAGGGGCCTGAAAAGACCAAGAAGGAGTCCGAGAAGTTAGAATGAGGTAGGCTTGGGGGAACGCATATGAGAAATTACTGTATGTGAACAGTACCACAAGTAATTCAGTTTCGCTGAAGCTTAAAGTATAAAGAAGACAATGAAGATGAATAAGGATAGACAGATAGCCAAAGGCCAGATGTCGAACAGCTTTATTTAATAAGCTAAGGCATTGTAGAATTTATCTTATAGATGAGGGTGAGACATCAAAAAATGTTGAATGTGGTAATGACATGATCGGATCTACATGTTAAGGTCATTCTTGTGGTTTGGGGCTGATATGGGCCAAAACTAAAGGAAGAAGAACAGTAAGATAGTTACTGCAATTCTCTGAGTAAGAGGCATTGAGTCCTAAACTAGGGCAGTGGCAGGACCTGGCAAGTTGGGGATAGTGACCTTTACTGGTTGCCTCCCCAGATTCAATCCTTCCTGGCCTCACTCAGCAAGGACCCAAGGATTGACTCCGTTCCCTGCTGTCAGGGTAGACCCCAATTGACATAAGATAACCGATGGGTCTCATCATTCCAGCCACGGTGTTTGTTTTACAGAGGGGCACGCAGAC